ATATAAATATATATATATATATGTATATTATTCGCTGTTACTTTGCCATTTAATGCTGTAATTGCTGCATTTTTCCAGCTATAGCAACTATAAGAAATGATAATAAAATTTATGAGAACAAAATTATAATGTTATTTTCTCATAGTCTGTTGCATTACATAAATTTTGAAACGGTTTTTATATTATTGCCAGCGCTGGCAGTGAATTTCGGACCGCAATCAATATAGTATAGATGTATAGGACAGACAAAAATCAAACAATACTCTCTCTTTAAGTTACAGACGACTTAAACAATTTGAATCAAATTTTTTAAATAAAAATTTCACATTTTTTTGTCAAATATTTTTAAACAAAATAAAATTTGACCCCTTTTATAATCAATTTTTGGTTTGTAAATATTACATAACGTGTAATTGGTAAACATCCTTGATAACATTATCTCTCTTGTCATTTTAATGTCAAATAATATTAGTATGTGTGTGATGAGATTGCTCTTGATATATAAACTAACAATTAATTTTTAATTTTTAATATTATTTTTTATTATATAAAAAAACAATTTCAATGTCAGAAAAGTACTTATAAGAGCTTCTATAGTTAGTGTGTAAATAATATAATTAAATTATAAAATATAAACAAATTTATTTACACACACACAGATTACCATATTAAGATTTCTGTAATAGATGCCTCTTCAGCATCAAAATTTAATTGTGATATTATTTCAGTAGTTTAGCTACGTTTTTAAGGATGTTTTGTACATATTTTTAATATAACAAAATTATGAAAAAAATTACATATTATTCTAAATTACATTTAAAAATAATACGACGAATTTGGTGACGATTTACTATCTGAATTATGAGATATTTTATAATAAATAGTAGTAATTTTGTAATCTGTGCTCTAATAAAATGTATGAAAATGTATTATATAAAATAAATAACAAAAATCTTTTTAATATAAGTACAATATGTATTCAAGATTATTTATGTAAAGTTACATTGTCATGTATGTACTAGTTGTCCAGTAAATAAACAAAATATTTACTTGTTCTATGTGTTTGTAACAAAATGTTTACTTGCCTCAAGTGTTTGTAATTAGTGAATCACGATAAAACTTTGCATAAGTTATTTTGAATATTTAAAGTACTTATAAAAATTATTTCTTATTGTATATATATTCTCACGTATATGGTCTAATAAGATTCTTATTGTAAATAATATAATCATATATACATATATATAGAAGCGAAAAGAGAATGCAATTCGCAAATAATTAGAATATATATTATATATATATATTAAGAAAGTATACAACAAACAAAATTATTTATAAATGTTACGATTCCGAATTTGAATTCTCTTCAATATAGAAGCATAGTAGTATCTAATATAAGCATTTCTCCGCTATTAATCAGGAAAAAAAGGAAAAAGAGAGAAGCAGGGAGGAGAGGGGAAGTGATAAAAAAGAAAAAAGAGAAAAGGAACTATAATTGCTGAATAAGATAGTACACCAGATCCAGAAATTCTATATCATCCTATAACTCGCATTCATCAACACCGATATTCATCAACCCTCAATCCTGTCTTTTAATGTGTATCATATTTAGAGGTTTATTGAGATGAACTTCTTCATCCAAGACCTCTACATTACATCAATCAAAATCTATTTTAGTTTGTAAACATATTTTCGCACTAAAAAAAAGATTCAAATCCAAAACATTCGTAAACAATTTTGTTCAACATATACGTTCTTAATACACATTTTCATTATTTGCAAATTGCTTTCTGTCGCTTTATATATTTACGCACTAATAACCGTGGAAGCCCTTATAGACACTTTTTTTGTATTAATTTATTCTTGAAACCACAAACTATTTGTTTTGTCAGTTTAATTTAATTATAAAAATAATTTATAACTTTAAAGTAATGGATATGCGTGGATATAACTTTTATATATAAAGTATATGTACCTATGTATACATATACATACATATACTTTTATATTCTATACTTTCAGTATAATCAAATAATACGTTCAGTGAAACAATAAAAAAAAAAACAAGATTTGAAAATATGTAAAAAATTATTATAGAGAGTTAAAAGCTTATATAAAAAAAATCTTATAAAAAAGTAATTATAATTCTTAGGTTGATACGAATGACAAGCCAATTCAGCTGCATTTTATTTGCCGTGCTTACGTGTATCTGCACTCTTTCTCAGAGGAAAAAATATTTTACTATGAGACTTTGTTTATTTCTTTTTCACACACACATGAAACTATGGAGCTATTTCAAAATCAGATTTTGCAACACAGCTTGTAAATAATTGTAATAAATAGGATATATCTATTTGTTCCATATTCGTGGTATCACTTAGAATATCATGAGACACACACACACACACATTTTTGGTTTTTTCTAAGTATCTTCTCAGTATTTCAACGTAAAAAAATTCATTTCAGACAGAAAGCTCCATAGTCTCTCCTATCGACCCTTAAAAACTTTCCGAAAAAATATAATTAAATTCAACTTTTTAAAATTAGCGACACCGAAATTTTATAATTTATTTATGTTTGTTACACTGAAGATGACCCGATCGGAGTCAAAACGTCTGTATTAATGTTTAAATTTTATATTATACTTAATTTGAAAAATTTTTCTTGCGTTTAGTATTTGACTCATTGCCCTTATTATTACTCATATTGTTTTTTAAAATCGTCTGTAGCTAGATAAAATATATAACATATCTGAGAAGCAATTAAGAAATGCGGTTGTGTTTCGCGATATGAACACAACTGTGTACGTGATATGGGCAGCGAAAAATACTTAAAAATCTGAGTATAGCCAGGCAAAAAGGTGTCTACAAATTACAACGTTCAATACCTTGCGCTTGATACAGGTAGTCACGGTAAATTCAGTTATACACAAGGAATAGGAAAAGAAAGGAAAGGGCGATACAGAGGAATACTTCTCAAGCTCGTCTATACAAGCAACTTTCCGGATAGGATACAGTTCACATGGTATTATAATTAACGCCATGCAAATTGATCGGCATCGTAGAACTCGGTAACGTATAGTCCGTATGCCTATCAATATAACCACTCAGCATTGTGTGAGGACTGTGGCTTGTCAGCATAGTGTGCGTAGTATGTGTGTTGTGTGTGCTATGTGGAGTTGTGGGCGGGCCCATAGGCGTTGGACTCTGCGAGTTCATAGGCTGCGCCGGAGGTGCCGGCGGCGGCGAGGAATTGACCTCTTGCTTAACGCGGGACTTGAGGCTGGGCCGATTGTTCGGATAGCCGCGTTTCTTGTACTCAAGCCAGAGCGTTCGGTTATTCACGCCGAACATCCTGGCTGCTTTGCAAAATCCTATACCACCGTAACGCACAGCGTCAAGTGCGCGTATAAAATTCTCGTCTGCCTGTGGATTAGTCGAGCGCTTCCTCTTAATCGCAGTCTGCGGGCTGGCGCAGGGGCTCTGGCAGTTGCTTGGGCACTGCGTCGATGGCGAGGGGCCACCCGACGACGCGTGCTGCAACGTCCCGTGGGAGGAGTTCGGATAGTTCGTCAGGGCGCAACTGGAACCAGTCGTGCTGGTACCAGAGTACTGATCGCTGATGGTCGAAGATGCTGTTATTTCGGGCGTCGTAAATGCCGACGACGCTTGGATCGACAGATTCGTTTGACACGAGGACAGAGCGAAACGTGTCGGATGATATGTGTGCTCCATAATAGTCCACTGTAATCCTGTAGAACAGACCGATTCATCTTTGGTCAGAGCACAGGAATTATTAACCCGTTTTGCATTTACAGCAAAGATAAATGATAAAGTCGGAGAGAAAAAGAGAGAGAGAAAGAGTAATATGAGAGAGTTATATTATGAAACATTACAAAATAAAAACAATAAGCAAAAAATGTCTTTAATTTTAATTTATATTTAAATTTGTTTTTACATTAAAGTTACGAGATTCGTTCGATACAGTAATTAAATCCTATATAGAAACTTTATTTCACCTATACATAACGTCAAAAACTTCAATTCAAAAGATGCAATTTTTACACAATTATATTGCACTATATTAATAACGTAACTTGAACTATGAATAATAACGAATGTCATATATTGGCATATTTGTTCATATAAAACAAGGCATACATAAATTATGGTCTAATCAAAAGAAAATAGTTTATATTCTATGGTATGTAGAAAAACAATACTAAGCTAAATAAGCGAAAGATGATAGATATTAAAAATAAAATCTTGTGAAGAGACGATATATGAGCGTATTAAGTATGGAGTTGCGGCATGGCACAGATACATTTTTTAGCACATCATTGTTTATATTGAAATATGTGTACGGCATTTGTTACATTTATAGGGCAGAATAAGGCACACATACATAACTTCGTTAATGTCAAAGGACCGATAAGCTAATCCTTGCAAAAATATAACATACTATGTGCTATGTATCTGTGTACCATGGTGATCTTTCTTTTATGAATGATAAACAATATTTTCTTTGCACATTCGCATTATTAAAATTTTAATTCCGGAAATTTCGCTCTATTTTCATGTCAAACGTCTGTTGATTCTCCTTGTGCAATACATTTAAACGCATCTGTGCCAGCATATAATGTGTGTAACTTTTCGCTTATCGACATGCAGTTCAAATACCCACCACAGTCAATATGCATAATTCAAATAACAATTGTCGAGAATAACAATTGGAGAGATTTGCTTAAAGGGAAGGTGTCATGCAATTTGCCAAAGTTGCCGGAGCATTCTGCATGGATTCACAGTGTACAGTCTACTAAGAGTATTATATTATGAAATCTATAACGTAACTAAACATTCACGCATGACACATTTCCCGTTAAATTACAAACTATATATTCAAACTTTCATATCATTACGCCTATGTGCATTCAATCAACTAGATTATTAACGCTATACTCAATCAATCTGTTATAACAGATAAAATATTTATCTAACTTATTTTTATGAAAATAGAAAAATTAAATTTTTTATAAATAAAAATTGAATATATACATATATATGTGTATATATTCTTTATTATTACATATAACTCTTTCTCTTTTAATATGGATTAAAACAGAAATTTTATGAAATGGATGGTCTACAAATTATATGTATGTTTAAAAAATAAATACAAAATTGAAAGCGCTTTTTAAATTGTAGTTTTTAAATTTTTATTTTTGATATATATTAATATTATATATATGTATATATATATAAATTTATAATGTATAATTTTGCTTCGTATAAAGTATCATATATATATCATATATATATAAATCTATTGTATACTTTGAATATATCTAATATAGATAAGCATTAAAGTTTTGAATCTGTCTTTATAAAATATAATTAATAACATAAATAACACATTTTAAATTATATTATTAGACAAATTATAATGTCACGTAAAAAATAAGATGCACAATCAAAACACATGTAAAATATTTAGGAAAATATAACTGTAAAAAACAATTTACATCTACACGTGTAAAAAAAAATTCAATTGACAGCCATGTACAAAATTATACATGCAGCATAAAAAAAGTGATGTGGTAAATTATATTTATAATTTTATATATTAATTTCTAATATATCAATTTTTTCTCTGTACATAATAGCATATAGTTTACATTATAATAAGTAATACCTGAATGTAAGTGTGTGCGCGCGCGCGCGCGCGTGTATGCGTAAGACTCTCTCCTTTAAATACCTTATAGAAATTTATATTTGAACAGCATAAAGCATATATATTGATATCTTACCTTGATGAACAGGAGGTTGCGAAGAAACAGAACTTTGTCCAATGTTTCCTGCCGATTGTTGACTTACATCTTGAATAGAACCATCACTTTGGGCTGGCGTATTAGCAGAACTCGTTTCCATATTACTCATCTAAAATATAAAATATTACATGATGTTAAGACATTTTTTTATGTACCTTTACAATGCTATTTACTGACACTTGTGGTTTATTTATTTTAAAATTGTGATTAAACAATATAACGATTGTGCGTCATATTTACTTACAATTGATATTTGATCTTCATCAATACTGCCTTGAGATTCTGTGCTGGTATTTACTGGTCGCCTCAAATTCTCTCCACTCTCTTGCGACACAATGAGAGGTTCAGGTTTGACAATGTTAGTAGCCACTAATGTAATTTCATTCATTTCTTCCGGTTTGTCACCGGAGCCAGACGTTGAACCGGTTGAAGACTTCCTTAACCTTTTTCTACGAAAAGAAGGAGACAATGGAGATGGACTGGGTGAGCAGGATTCACCACGGTCTCCTCCACCTGTTTCGCTGCTTCCACTTGGCCATTTAGTTAATGACGCTGTATGCATTTCTGCGAGTCCTTTTATCTTCAAGCTCTCCGCCGTCTATTTAATAAAACAGGATGTTACTCGTCACAATTCACAAAGTGTAACAGCAAATTGTTTCATTATTCAGATGAAACATTTTACCTTTATGATGGATGGTAATTGGTCTTGAGATATGTTCACTTCTCCATAATACATAAAGTCCACCATAATTTTGAGGTCGGAAAACTTGATATCCTTGAGTATGACAATAGGGTGCTGACAAGGGTTCACTGTGAATAACGACTGAAAATACGTGCTGCATGCTGACAGTACGACTTTATGAGCCTGAATTTGCCTGCCTTCAGCAGCAAGAGTAACATCCACTAGAGTCTCATTATTCAGCAAATTGGAAAAAACTGAGATGAAATTCGGTTGATGATTGTTCCACCGCAAACAGAACTGTTGCATAGACATTGTGATGACGTAAGAAGAGTCTTTTGTGAACTTTGACTGCAACACGAGAGAAAAACACTGTTTATATCAAGCAAATGTATAAATGTAAATAACAGCAAATAATGTACAAACAGCATCACAAACAATGTATCATAAACAATTTAAAAAGAAAATTGAACAGGAATTTCTTTCACAGGAAGACTGTCTCTCTCACTAGATATTATTTAATACATATATCTTATTATAATATAAAAAACATTAATATCTCAGAACATAATATTTTCGTGCTTAGAATAAATCATTAATTCACAGAACATTAACATTACAAAAAAAAAAATGATCTCATCGAGTAACAAAAAAAAAAAACATTTTCCTCTGGCCAAGTAGAAAACATCTTAGCTAACAAAGTTCATAAAGATGACACATATTGAATACTTGGCGAATGATCTATTAGGAGCAAATTCCTAGTTTAAAAAGAGTCACGAAAGCGTGACGCAGAAGCAGGTGCGAAATGTCATGCGAGGCGACATGTCGTCGAGGTGTCGACGAGTCTCGGCGACGTCGCGTTCGAGATGGACATGACAATAAACAAAAACTCGGGTGCACAGCAGGTTCGGTAAAGAAATCTTTCTTCTAGTTTCGCGCGTAGCTGGCGTGAACGATGTTGATGATCGCGATGATGATCGACGGACGATGATGCTGGAGAATAGAGAGGAAAGAGACAAAGAGAGACAATGGGGGGGGAGAGAGAGAGAGAGAGAGGAGCGCTCACTTTTTGATCGCGATGCACTTCGTCGTCGTCGTCGTCGTCGCCTTGCCGACGAGGGTCATACGCCGGTCTCGCTCAAAGGACGACGCACTTCGCCGCTGCCACCATGAACTCCGTGAAATTTTCCACAACAGACTGAACGATGACGCTTGTGTAATTCGCGAGTGACGTCATGGGCGAGGGAAGAGGATTTTGCGCGACGACGCCGCGGCTGCCGGGGGAGACGCGCGCGCGGACCCGAATTCACTCGCCGCGAACGTATGCCGAGCGACCGACGTCAGGCACATACACACGGACCCACGTACACGCGCACGCACGCAAGCACGCACGTCACGCGGGAGGGTCGCGTGGGATTGCGTGTGTGATTACGTGCGATCGAAAAATTTCGCGAGATCTTATCAACGTGCGTCTCACAAAATCTAACTTGATCAATATAGCGGGCCGACCGGCGCCGCCATCTGGCGAGCGATCTGCGCGAACGTGAGCGCACGGCGGTTTTTCGAAGCTAAGCGGGAATACCTTTTTTGTTTCGAGCGAAACTCCAATTTGAACAACAGACGACGTATGTGGAAATTGACAAATTTGTGGAAATATATATTGTTCTAATTAATTTAAATAATTAATTAGTGTAATAAACGTCGCTTGAGTAAGTCTTTGGTTATCTCTCTCACAAAATGATCAAAATGTTTATTTTCTGATGTAATCTGTTGACGTGTTAAAAAGAGAGAAAAACAGAGAATTTATAAGCTTCTCTTAAAATCAAAGTGACACGTTGGAGCAGTCAAGCTTAATTAACGTTACAATGCTTAATTAACGCTCCTCTCTTTTCGTTATTGATTGTTTACTTTCTTAGTCTTTCCTCTGTAGAGTCTTATCATGATATATATATTACACGACATTTACACCACGTTATTTATACATATTTATATTTCTCGTCTTCGATAGTTTATCTTGAGATAAGATGGAAATTATAAAAAAAGAGTAAATTTATATCATATTCATGAAATATTTATAATTTTATTGGTTAACAAATTACACTTACATTTATATTTTAAATATATCTAATAAAAAAGCAAATTATGGATGCTGGCCAGTAGATTTTAAAAATTATTTTAATCTTGACCAGAGTTTTTTTTATAAATTAGATTACAACGTGCTCTTTCTCTTGACGCTTCAAAATCTAAAAAAAAAGAAAGTCAGCCAGCCATTCATAGACAAACCGACACGAGTGCCGAACACAGACTTCTATATAATATATAGAAGTCTGTGGTGCCGAACGAGCCAAAAGGGTGATGCACCGAGGAGTCGCGTGTCGATAAATCGCGAGCGTACGATCGCGCTTTCCGACTCTCGATATCCCGGCTGCCAATCCGGCGCTTCCATGCTCCGGCGAAGGCGCTGCCGCAAACGTCGAACAGGTGTCGTTCCCCCCCACTCTCGACGACGGTTTCTAACTCCTAACCTCCGGCGTGCTCCATTCCGCTCCGCACCGTTCCGCGCCGTGCCGCGCCGCGCGCTTCGTATCCGCGCGATGTCAGGCGTATCCTCCGTTTAGTGTGAGACGACGGACGTCGAAGATGCACGCTCGCGAGCTTCCTCCTGCACCTGCACCGCGCCGTTAGCACCGGGCCGCCGAGGGAAAGAAGGTGCGTATCGACGGGATCGAAACGCGATCAGCGTGGTTGGAATCGAACCAGCCGTTTCGCGTGACGGGAGAGTAAGAGAGAAAATGAAGGAGGGAAGAGAAAGAGCGGCTTATCCCCGCGGCCGTCTCTCGCGCGCACACGCTATATTTGCGTCCCGCTCCGTTCTCGCGATCGCTCTCGGCCGACGGAGCAAGCCTGGCGAGACCCTAGTCGGCACCAGAGGTGTGTAACGATCGGTCGTCCCCCGATCTCTCGGCTGGTCTCGCGGCCACGCGCCGCGTTCCATCACCGCACGGCGAGTGTCTTCGCGTGTTTCACACCCCCGCAAGGAGTCGATCTCTTGACCGATCTCCCCCCGCGACACGATCCGATCTCTTGCACTCGCTCGGTCTCACAAATCGTGAGATCGTCGGGCCGTTACCGCGCCGGAGTAGTTGATATTTTAATATGATAGAGCTGATATAATGAAGTAGTGCCTGCGCGTGAGATTCGCTCCGAGGAGCCGCTCCAGATTCCACGGTGCCGTATTAAGTTTATTTCCTGGATCCGGAGGCTTCGAACACGAGGTCTTTTCTTATCACCCAGGAATCTGCGCTGCTTCTTCTGGTCCAAGAGATAACACAGGTCGTGTGCGCGCGCGAGAGAGAGAGAGAGAAAGAGAACCGTGAGTGTTCGATCCTACGTGCATCTCTCTGTGAAGAAAGTTCGTGGAAGCGCGCTGCCACGTCTCTGGGCGTCAAATGCGTGGCGCGAAGAGGAGCCGCCGTGTCTTACGTGTCGCTCTCCCGTCGCTCCGGCTCTCACGAGTGTGCGTGCGTGCGTGCGTGCGTGCGTGCGTGCGTGCGTGCGCCCGCGATGCGCGTGAATTCCGCCGGCGCGACGTGGTGGATCGACATTAGCGGGATCGACTTTGGCGAGCCTCTTACTCGCCGCGAACCGGTTCGCCGATCACGGCCGCATCCTCCTCGCGACGCAAGGGATACGTGTAACTACGCTCGATCGCCCGCGCTGAAAAGGAACACCTCGGCGCCGCGCCAGTGACACCTCGCGCGAGGAAACACGCGCGAGCGAGCGAGCGAGCACGAGGCCACCCCCGGACACGCGGCGCGTGCTGTGAGAATTTCAGAATTTCTGGTTGAAAATCTGCTAGAAGATTTTGACAATATTAATCAAAATTCTGGTTACCTGCTCTCTCTAAAACTTTTAGAATAAAAATTTTACTCTGAATTTTCACTCTTGAAGATTAAAATTTGAACCAGTCTTTTTCAGGACTGGTTTAATTGGCACTCTTTAGAGGGAAACGCGCGCGAATGAGCGAGCACGCGACACTTGGAGTGAGAATTTCTGGTTGAAAAGTAAAATAAAAAGTTCCGATCACTTAGTCAGAATTCTAGTTATTTCCTCTTACAAATTTTTAGAATAAAAGTTTCACTCTAAAGAGCGAAATCTCACTCTTAAAGATTAAAATTTGAATCACTTTTTTTTTCAGGATTTAGAGAGTTGACTAGATTTATGATAATAGATTTAATCTAAAGACCTTACCTTTAAAAAATATCAGTGGGGATCTATGCGGTGTCTATAAAATTCTCACCTTGTTGATGTAATGTTAACATCAACATGGTACATATGGATTTAAAATCCATCATGTTGTTAAATCCACGCCGATATTTTTACATAGTATAACAGAGCGTACAAAACAAAGTCTATCTACAAGCGATTTTATCAAAATTTTACGAGAGAGAAATATATAAATTTTTTTCTTCCCCTGTACTCTGTATAAATATACTATCTCACTTTAAATCATCTCTCACTCTATAATCTTAATTAAAATTATTAAATGAAACAGTATAAGTTAAAGTGAGATAGTACACATGTAGGGAAGAAGTATAGTATATGTCCCTCCTTTCTTTTCCGTAGGTTTTTGATAAAATCATTCGTGGCCAGACTCATTTGGGTCTTCCGATTTAAACAGAAATTCTGATTTGTTCATCTTCAACTAGAACTCCAATTAACGCAACTAGACTCTTTTTTTTCCAGCGTGAGCTTAACCGTGCCATGAAGTAGGCATGCGATTTCCGCGTCGCGACGATTACACGCGACCTAGAGACTTTAGAACAGAGTTTAGACATGAACAATTTTATCAAAACAAGAGGGTATACGTACTACATTCTTTTCTACACACTGAAAAAAATGTTTGGTTAAAAATAGACGAACCGAAAAGTTCTCATTGATATAATCAGAATTTTTTGATTTGTCCATTTTTAACCAAACATTTTTCTCAGTGTATATGTTACCTCATTCTAACTTACTGAAGTTAACAAAAATGAAGAACCAATCAAAAGTTTATCATCTCGTTGCCAAGACTACAGGATTTCTAACGTGATCCAAGCAGAACAAAAATTATAAGTCTGTTTTTTTTTTAGTTGAACTTCTTGCACGGTTCATCTTTCCTTCTTTTCTCTCGACGTTGAAGAAAAAAGAGAAAAGATGAACTGTGCAAGAAGCTCAGCTAAAAGGAGCAGACCTCTGGATGATATCAAAATGGCTTCAGATTAATTACAGTACACACAATTGGATCATTCATATCCTGCATGCATATTTCTTCGAAAAACTAGGAGCATCAAGTAATTAGTTATTTATATACAATTGTTTTAAATACACAACTTTATAATACTTTTTAAAAAGGTTAAAGTATATTATGTAAGAATCACTTAATAGTTTTTATATATTTGTCAAAGTGATGAAAATTAACCCTGAATATGAAACCATCGTGTGTAGTAAAGAACTGGAAAATCATCGTGTCTACTAAGTCACTTTTCGATACAATTCGTTTTAACGTCATTTTAACTTCGTGATCTGTTTAGGGAACGAGTAAGCGAGCGAAGGACTCATTTCGACTCTTCTCGTGCCGCATGGTAAACGTAGCGATCCCTGATTCCAGGGATTATGAATTCAATGCTCGCACTACTCCTTCCGGGACTCTTCTTTTCCGGAGATCAACGTGGCCAGGGTTCGTTTCCTGGTACACGCCCTGTAACAAACGTGTCAGTTGGAGCCGGATAGGAGATGTATGTCAAATCCGGCGATCAACCCGGATTGTGGAAAAATTTGAAAATGCAATTCCCTCGGGAGAGTTAAAATACATAAATGCGCGACACCTCCACGTCCGCGTGTATTTTTTTGCGCATCGATTTTGCACCTTGTAAAAAAAAAATACGCTGAAAGAGTCAGAGGAGGACAGAAGAAGCTAAGCCTCGATTTTGAAAATTAAAAATTCAATTTCTAAAATCTGATATATAAATTTTGCACGCACGTGTGCAATATTTTTCTTGCATTAGTATCGCCAGTAGTTGTCCTCAAAAGGAATACTTGCTATTTGCTAAAAATTTATTTATTTATTACACTTTTTGTGTAGTCGAAACAATATGCTTTTCAATTCGAGACTCGAGATAATAGTGGAATAGAGAGCATTCCACTTTGAGAGATAAAAGTCATGGTCGTTGAGAGAATAACATATTTTATTTTATACAGAATCCTATATAATTATGTGTATCAGATCTTCCATCAGAGAATCTAGAATAAATAGAAAAAGATTTAGAATGGAAATATAAGTTATATAATATTATCAAAATTTTTCATAGAGTCAACTAATATCATACTTATTAATGTGTAACATTCAATAATACAAATTGGAGTAAAATAAATTCTATAGAATAAAAAAAAATCAAATATATAAAAATAATTAGTATTAATACTTGTTGAATCATAATCAAATAATTAATGAAAAAAATTTAATCATGTTATCTAATATTTTTTTCCCACAAGTTACAAAATATTTGTTCTTATCTTAAAAGTTACGGCATATGCTCGGGCATACGTGAGAAAACATATGTTGTATTGTTATTTATATGCGTAGACATCCAGCATTACCGCATTACTTCACATACTTGTTCTACATTCACCGCTAAGCATCGTCGTCCGGTTCCACGTTTCATTCATATAACACGTTCGATCTAAGCAGAAAGCCTTCAAGCGCTACTTAGAACCACTTCACTAACTCATTCGGAATCGACCTCGTCTAACTTTATAGATCGATTTTGATCGCAATTTACCCGATCCCATTCGAGTCTCTTTCTAGATATATAGAAATTGTTATTGTTAAATATTACACGAACAAAAAATATCATTCTATTGTTAAAAAAAAGTGGTTGCCAATTTACTTTCTTCCTTTTAAGTGACGGTTATATCTTTAACGAAGAATATTTTCCTGATAATAATCTTAAAATATAATTATTCAGAAAAACTCATTATATACTCAAAATGAGAATTTATTTTCTTTTTTAAAGGGTAATATAAAATTGATCGAGGAAGCGACTTCATAAAATAAGTAAATCAAATTTATTTTAATTTAATAATCTTGATTGAAGTATTATACTCAGAGTATATATTTATACAAGAACTCAGAATATATTTTACATAAATTTGATGCTTATATGGATTTATGATAGATTTGCAGATACGTGAATCTTTAAAATACTTGAAACAAGTAATTATTATAAATTTATAATTGCATACAGTATATACTTTTCTACATAGATACGAGTATTTCTCTCTTTATTTCCTATCCGTTTCTCTACCAACCGTGAAATGATATTGGCTGCTCGAATTTTCTGGTGGCACGTTAAAGAAAAAAGAAAAAGGAAAAATACCCTCCTTAGCAGCACATTCTCAGGTAAAGACCAAAAATAACTCGTAAGCGATAGGTATGAGAGGCTGAGATACCGCGATAGCAGTTCAGGAATGCCCATGAGATGCGTCGCGCCAAAATCGATCTATCGGAACCAGGTCAGCTGCTGAGGTCTTCATCCCACGCTATGCCGTGAGCTAAAAATCAAGTTAAGCAAAACAGACGGGACATGGCTTGCTGTTCTGTATACTGAAACCGTTCATGCTCCAAAGAGATAGTCAAGACATAAGAGGGGAAAAAAAAAACAAAACGC